TCTTTAACTTTTTAAAGTTGTTTCAGCTCAAACTTTTTCCAGTTTTGTTAAATGGTCACTGACCTGAAATATTCACTGCTTCTCTCTCCTCAGCTGCAAGTTGGCCTTTTATGTATTTTCAGCGTTTTCTGTGTTTTCTTTTTACATTTTGAAGGATTTTCTGGAGTTCCACATGAATATCATCCAATCTCATTCTCTTCACTTCTACTATCACTTCAAAAACCCCAATTAGGTTCACTAGGAATGACCTATCCTTTCCAAATCCTGCAGGACTTAGAACATAGAAAATTGCAGCACAGGAAGAGACTCTTCGGCCCTCCAAGCCTGCAACGACATGCTGCCTGTCACAACTAAAACTCCCTACCCTTCCGGGGACCGTACCCCTCGATTCCCATCCTATTCATGTATTTGTCAAGATGCCCTTTAAAAGTCACTATTGTATCTGCTTCCACCCTCCCCTGGCAGCGACTTCCAGGCACCTACCACCCTATGTGTAAAAAAACTTCTCTGGTCAGCTCAAAATGTTCATCTATTTCATTGTTAATTACTGACTCCAGTTATTTCCTGACATCAAATGGAGTGGAACAATTCCATTCTGATATCTGGTGAAGTGGAAATGATGCTAAGTAAGTTGTTGAGGAAGGTGGTCCAGCCTCCCACTGCAGGCACTGCATGTTGACTGGAAGCCAATAAGGGCAGACAACTTGAAGACACAGTTATTGCCCTGGCAACAGTCATCCTGTGTTACATGGCAGCTGCAGGCATTCTTACAGCAGATGGCAGACTCAGTTTCACGGTTGTGTAACTGCTCTGACCATTGCAGAGAGTTGCACCCTGTTTGTGAATACAGCTGAGCAAGCTGCTGACCCAGAGTATGACCAGCCTGGAATTCCCACTTAAATCTGTCTTTCAGAAATTTTTCCCATAGAGCTGCTCTTTGCAACAATATCAGGGCCGGTTGCAAAGAAAATAAGAAAGCTTAAATATATGACACATAACCCTGAGCATCGACAAGAAAATGGTTTAAGTTTGGCCAAAAGGAAATTAAGCTGCAGCAAGCTGTTCTCCAAAGGCATTTTGTATTTCAGTGAATGACATTACCAACTTATATTGGCAGGTCCTGCACTTTTTTCTCTATTCATTTGTGGGATGTGGGCATCACTGCCTGACCAACGTTTCTTGCGCATCCCTAGTTACCCTTGAGAAGTTGGTGGTGAGCTGCCTTCTTGAACCTCCTGCTGTGGGTTGACCCACAATGCCATTAGGAAGGAAATTCCAGGATCTTGACCCAGTGACAATGAAGGAATGGCAATATATTTCCAAGTTAGAATGGTGAGTGGCTTGGAGGGGAACTTAGGAGTGGTGGTGTTCCATTTTGTCTGCTACCCTTGTCCTTCCAGATGGAAGTGGTCATGAGTTTGGAAGGTGGTGCCTGAGGATCTTTGGTGAATTTCTGCAGTGCATCTTGTAGATAGTACACACTGCTGCTACTGAGCGTTGGTGGAGCAGGGATTGGATGTTTGTGGATGTGGTGCCAATCAAGCAGGCTGCTTTGTCCTGGATGGTGTCAAGTTTCTTGAGTGTTGTTGGGGCTGCACCCATCCAGGCAAGTAAGGAGTATTCCATCACAATCCTGACATGTGTGGACAGGCTTTGAGGAGTCAGGAGGTGAGTTACTTGCTGCAGTATTCCTAGCTTCTGACCTGCTCTTGTAACTACTGTGTTTATGTGGTGAGTCCAGCTGAGTTTCTGCTCAATGATAATCCCAGGATGTTGATAGTGGGGGATTCAGTGATGGTAACACCACTGAATGTCAAGGGGCGGTGGTTAGATTGTCTCTTATTGGTGATAGTCGTTACCTGGCATTTGTGTGGCACAAATGTCACTTGCCATTTGTCAGCCTAAGCCTGGATATTGGCCAGATCTTGTTGTATTTGAATATGGACTGCTTCAATATCTGAGGATTTGTGAATGGTGCTGAACATTGTACAATCATCAGTGAACATCCCCACTTCTGACCTTATGGTGGAGGGAAGGTCATTGATGAAGCAGCTGAAGATGGTTGAGCCGAGGAAGGAACTCCTGCAGAGATGTCCTGGAGCTGAGACGATTAACCACCAACAACCACAACCATCTTCTTATGTGTCAGGTGTGACCTCAATCACTGAAGAGTTTGTCCCCTGATACCCATTGATTCATGGAAGTCCAAATGACAGTCAATCTTACTGTTGCTTCCAAACCCTGATCAGAACATCACATTGGGGACTAAATAGGTGGTGGTTTGAAGTTAAAATGGCTAGATTTCCACTGGGCTGATTGGCTGTTCTGTGTCATTCTCCACACATGAAGATACAATACTTCAATGGTAATGTAACTCCACGAGCAACTGAGACATCCAAGATAGTACTCTGGACAAATTGGGTTAAACCTCGCTATTTTAGCTTGTGGAATTGAAATTCGATCAATAAATCTGGAATGGAAATATTATCTCAGGAATGGTGATTATGAAACTATTATGGATTGTTGTACAAATCCATCTGTTTCATTGATGTCCTTTAGGGAAGGAAGTCTGTCGTCCTTACTGGTCTGGCCTGTATGTGACTCCAGACTCAGACCCAGCTTGCCTAGCAAGCCATTCAAGAGCAATTAGGAATGAGCAACAAATACTGGCAACAGCACCATCATGAAAAAATGGAAAGATAATCATTGGTGGATACAAAACTCAGATGCAGTGGAAGATGACTTTGACACGTTACTCAAGCTATCTATTTGATTGAGATGGTATAGAGCTGGATGAACACAGCAGGCCAAGCAGCATCAGAGGAGCAGGAAGGCTGATGTTTCAGGCTTAGAGGAGGTCTCGGCCTGAAGCCCATTTCTGAAGAAGCGTCTAGGCCCAAACGTCAGCCTTCCTGCTCCTCTGATTCTGCTTGGCCTGCTGTGTTCATCCAGCTCTACACCCTGTTATCTCAGATTCTCCAGCATCTGCAGTTCCTACTATATTTGATTGAGATGTTTCATTTTGTATTTAACTGTGAAACACATGCAAAGTAAACTCTGATCTAGGTATCTGTACTCCAAATCAAAATTTACAAAACATGTTCTGAGATCGTCTTGCATACTTAAAAAAGTCTCTGACTTTTTAAAAAAATTCTTTAACAGAATAAGGGCATCGCTGGCTGGGCCTGCATTTATTACCCAGAGGGCAGTTCAGAGTCAGCCACATTGCTGTGGATCTGGAATCACAATATAGGCCAGACCAGGTAAGGATGGCAGTTTCCACCCCTAAAGGACATTAATGAGCCAAATGGGTTTTGCCAACAATTAATTCATGGTCATCATTAGATTCTTAATTCCAGATTTATTTTTTAAAAATTGAATTCAAAATCCACCATGGCAAGCAAACCCAAGTCCCCAAGACGTTACCTGGGTCTCTAAATTAACAGTCCAGCAACAATACCACTTGGCCATGGCCTCCCCTTACTGGGATGGACATCATGTTCAGTTGATACTTCATGGTAGCTGCTCCTGTCTAACAGTTTGGTGAAACAATTAGCTTCCACCATGGTACGGCCATGAGGAAATAGCCCCAGAAAGCACTCGGACATTTGAATCTTAACCGGAATTTGATGGGTTTACAATCCAAGATGACTGTGGGAGTTGCAACAAAAGAGCTTCAATGAGTTTAAAAACAAGCCCCACAACTGGCTGGACATCACTTGAGATTTTTAACAAATGCAGCTTTGCCAGAGCTGTTCACAGTCCAAGGCGAACCACCAAGAATTAGAGCTACTTAAGCAAAAAAGTCTATAGTCAGATTAAAGAAGGTCATAATAACCTTGGAAGTAGGGAAAAGACCTCTCACTCAGGAAAGCACAGAATTCATGGAGAAGCTGGGATGCACAAATAGTAAGCATTCAGGGTGATGCAATGTTACCAAGAGAATGCTACCTGAGAAGGAAAAACTAATTAAAACTTGCAAATGGGCTTGGGGGGAGTTGGTTAGCTCAGTTGGCTAGATGGCTAGTTTATGATGGAGAGTGACACTAACAGCATAGTTCAATTCCTACACCAGCTGAAGCTACCAGGAAGTGCACTCTTTTTCAACATCTCACCTGTCCTCAGATTTAAAAAGCTACCAGTCATCTCTCTTATTTGAGAAAGCAGCCCTGTGGCCTGTTAGAAGTATGGCAACTTTTATTAATCCTCTGCACCTTGCAAAATAAAGGGCAAGAAGCTCATTTTCAAGAACTATTATATGGTTTTTAGCTTGCTTTTTTTTTCTTTCTGACTTAATGTTCAATTATGCAAACTAATTGCAGCGAAATTGAAAATGTTGAAAATCAGGGAGGGTATACCCCTGCATATGCCAACATATGCCAGACTTTGGAACTACCTTCTCAAGGGTGGCTTATTGCTGAACAAGACAACAGCATTGGCTTGTTTCCAAACTCAAGCCGTACATCATAATAGCTGTTGATTACTTGTCTTCATGTTCAGCTTGATAGATCCTTCCATGAAATCACTCTGAAATGGCTGATATCCATGGCACCATTACCTATCGGTTGAGAAAATTGCGACAATATATTCAACAGCGGCAGAGTCATTTGAGACATCACTCAGTGACTGTCCCTGCTATTTAGCAGGTTAGCCCAGTGCCAGCTGAATGTCCCATACTCAGGGTTATGAGTCATAGACAATAATTGAACAAACTATCAGCAGTCTTAGCAGAAAAACTGGAAACTTGAGGGGCAATGGTTGCTTATGGCAGGGAATTCTTTGGGAAAGAGATTTCTGATTTTATTAAGAACTCTTTGACCTCTTCTTGCCTGCGGATTAGGCAGTTGTCTGCAAGGTTACAGAGTTGTGAGGAAGGCCATGGGAAACCATCTCATGCGTTCTTGTTCCTAACCATAAAGTGCTTGTTCACTCCAGCTGAACGTGGACCATGAGGCATGGAGAAACATAGGATAAAAGGGAAGCAAATAGACCACACCAAATTCAAAAGAATAAGAATTTCTTTTATTGAAATAATTCTAGATAATCTTCATAAAAACAGAGTCTTCAGTTCCATCTCAAATGGATATGGAGGCAATAAGAGTCTCACATTCAGTCCGCAGAGGGCAGAGTTTGAATTGGAGTACAGGAGGTAGATTCTAACAACTTTGATGTCAAAATCGTTGAACAACATTGGCACGGGTATTACTTTGGAGTCAAAATAATCCAAATTTCACAGCTCATTTCTTTTTATGAAGCATTTCCACAATGTGTAACAGCACAGAAAGAGTACAGTTATATAAAATATCTCCAGCAACATGATGTGCCAGCATCAGCAACTAAACTTACAGGAATCTTCACTCTGCTCCAATGAGATCGCTACATCTCTAAGCTACCTCAGTTTACAAAGCACCAGCTTTCATTTTGCTTTTTTGTCCTTTTAAAAAATATAAATTATTCTTAAAAAAGCTAAAAAATAAGTCTTGAACAAAATACATAAAATATCTTTTTTTTATATCCACTATTTTAGACTTTAAACCTACAGTAAGAAACTATTCTGTTGAGGCAATTATTTTGGATTTAATCTAAACATCACAGAGCCAATGGAACATATGGTGGGTCAATATCTGGTCTCGGCAACGCTGAAGCAGTGATCTGTTCTTCTGGATTCGCATAAACAATACACAATACATGTGGACATTTCAAGGTTTCCTGTAACACACTCTCCACATACTTGCAACATATAACTACATTTCCCTTCTCTGCTTACACCACCAGTGAGATATACAGGTATGTTTAGAAACAGATTATTCCTTAACCAACTGAATGATGAACTGCACATGAGGCAGTCAATCTAGGCCCCACAGAGTGAGGTTCAAGCTATTCTTCACTGTTACTTAATTCCCAAGGGATATCAAGCAGTAATTCTGACATCACCCCTGAAATGGCGATAGAAAGTGGACAAGTTGCGAACTACTTTTTCTCTAGTGCAGTCACACTCATCATACATCTGTGAGGCTAGTTGTAGCCTGCCCTCCTTCACCTTTTGTCCTCAGAAGACTTGCTACACCATGTGCCTCTGGGCATTATTTGTAATCGATCTCTGTAGTGCTGACTAAGCTGGGAGTCAGTACTGTTACCACTCTTGCTCTTGCTGTCAAGGAAAGCAAAAGTAAGCACTCATTAGGAAACCTGTCCATCTCAGCTTCCATACAGCAAGTAAAGACAGCTTTCCCAAATGGAATAGCTGGCTCTGCAGCTTTCCCTTCCTCTGAAAATTAACTAGCCTTTCACTCAGTAATTGCCTTTCCAGGAAACATTGAAAGTTAGAGTTCTCTGTGTGGGAGAAATCATAGATGCAGATTAATGTCCTAGTCAATATTTAGCATTCAGCCAATGCTGATAAAGCAGATTATGAGATCCTTGTCACATTGCTATTCGTGTGACCATTGCTCTGTGCAAATTGGCTACCGGTGCTTCCTACATTAAAACAGTGGCTACCCTTCAAAGTACTCCACTGGCACTAAATTGATTTTGGATATGCTGAGGTCATGAAAGGGGCTGTGTAAATGCAAGTCTTTCTTTTATTTACATCCCAGCACTGCATTTCCCAACATTTCTGACAGTGACTCTTACTTAATGTATTGTTCTGGAATGGTGACACTTGGTAACAAACCACAGCCACATATAACTCTTCAGCATTTGATTATGAAATTCCCACATGGTCTTGCCATTCTGCCAAAATTCCTTTGCTCAATTACTCCAGTTTCATCATTTTCAATAAAGACACATGTGCTCGTCAGAAATATAGTGCTGCACTTAACCATAAATGAACTAGCTGATATCTCCCAGTGCAGCACCTCAGTTCTACACTGACATGCGCTTGGTACAGTCAGACTGAGCTACATGGGTCTGAGACAGTGCCTCAGTGATATTTCATGGATAGTTTACAATGATAGTTGACAGAAACATCCCTCTAGCAACTTGACTAGGGAAAGAGAGCAGAAACACAAAGTGAAGTTACACAGTGCATTCCAGACAATATATAGGCACCCTGCTCAAATGTTTTAGAATAAAATTATACAACAGTCTTTGGCTCATTGAAGATGGGAAAGAATAATCATCTCCAATTTATATCCAGTGACATACTTAAAGCCTTTCTAGTTCAGTAGTCACACAAAGGCACCAGTAAACCTGGCCTTCTCTTGCTTAGCCTTAACAATGGAATTCTCCTTAACTTCAAGCAACTTTCCAATCATTCATCACAGGATATTTGAAAGTTTGAAATGGCCATTAATTCACTGATACTCCTCTCCTTTAAACTCTTCTTACCTGCAGAATGGACAAAGACAGTCTTAATTCAGTTCATCTGCAAGGTTACAGAGTTGTGAGGCCTCAGTTGGACCTATGTATACTTCTACCCTTCATCTTATGATGTTTGATCAAACTGGAGATCTAATCAAGAATCATATCCATCCCATTGGACCTCTTTGGAATACCACTAGGGACAGCATTCAATCTACTTATTCATATAGCTTTCTAAAACACATTCCCAGAAGTGGTCTTGTTCCACAGAACATATTGCAATACACATTCTCTCTCTCTATATATATATTTGTACAGTTGTGTTAGACAGTATGGGTAACTACAATAGTGCTTCAAAGCATCTCATCTTTTGTTTCTTTGTAGTTCACTATTTTATATTTAAAAAAAAATGAAACAGACCACACTAATTGTCACACTGGACAAAGAACAAGGTACAATTTCCAGCAGGCTTGGTGTAATGTAATTTTGTTGGTATGTTTTTCAACCTATTAAAGCCCCCTTTCAGGTTCTTACTAGAGTCATGTTTGATGTTGTCTACCCACCTTCAAAACTTGATCAAATCAGAGCTGGTAAGGTTCCTACACAAGGCTGCAAATACTGAGACCATCTTAGATATAAGCTTAAAACAAAAAAAAAACTGGCAAATACATAACATACTGACTACCTTATCCATTAACTTCAGTTCACCAATGTGCCAAAGCTGTCAACAGGCAAGATGCCTGAGACAGTCATGCAGCTGCCCATTGGTGGCAATGTTTTCCTTTCGGGCAGTGTTCCTGTGTCCTACAATGCACAATGTCATCACAATCCTTACACAGTCTGTCTGCTGCACTAGTAAGGCAGGAAAAATGAGAGGTTACAAAACCAAAAAACACAAATAAAGATGATTTTTTTAAAGAAGAAACCGGTTTGGTTTGCCTTTGTAGAGCTGTGCATCGTTTTGAAATGTCCACCTTCAATGCAATGATTTTTTTTTGGCTTTCTCTACGAAGCTTAAGCAAACAAACCATACACAAGTCCCACAAGTGAGCACAGCTTGGAATCCAGTCCCACAAGCAGGTACTCCTTACTCATCGGCATCAGGTTTAACATCAAGCATGGCATGTAGTTCCTCTGGTGTGTAGCCCAGCAGGCTCTGAAGGTCACAAACAAACCGGTACACATAACGCTTGCCTGCTGTTTTGTGAATGATGTTCTTGTCATAATAATAACGCAGGCCTCGGCTCAGCTTCTCGTAGTTCATCTTTGGTTTGTTTTTCCGCTTTCCCCATCGTCTGGCCACCTGAAAAAGAATGCAGTGTTTGAGAACTGCACAGAAAGAGGCCATTTAGCCCAACTCGTCTCCAGTGGTGTTTATACTCTAGATGGGCCTCCTCCCACTCTACTTCATCACCACCAATCAATACACACTTCTGTTCTTGTCTCCCTTATGTACTTAGCTTCCTTCACTGTAAATGCACCAATGTCATTTGTTTAAACTTTTCAATATGGCAGTGACTTATACTCCAACTTCTAGGTAAAAGAAAACCTCTTGAGTTCATTTATGTGCTTAGCTTTTACTTATGTCCTGTAGTTTTCATTTTTCCAGCAAGTGAAAACATCCAACCTTTTTATAATGTTAAAGACATCTTAAGATTAATGTTAAAGACTTCTATCAGGTCACTACATGAGCAGCCTCAATCTATTCAGATGTTTTCTGCCAGTTATAACTTCTCCGTTCTGGTGGCAGCATTGGAATAATGTTTTTTTGCATCTTTTCCAGTGTGCCAACATCCAGAAGGTTTGAATTATGAGGGGAGGCTGGATAAGCTGGGATGTTTTTCGTGGAGCACAGGAAGTTAAGGGGTGACCTTATAGAGGTTTATAAAATCATGACAGACATAGATAAGGTGAATAGCAAAGGTCTTTTCTCCAGGAAAGGGGAGTCCAAAACTAGTGGTCACACGTTTAAGGTGAGAGGGGAAAGATTTAAAAGGGACCTTACGGGCAACATTTTCACACAGTGGGTGGTGTGTGTACGGAACGAGCTGCCAGAGGGTGTGGTAGAGGTAGGTGCAATTATAATATTTAAAAGACTTCATTAGGGCGTTCGACAAGGTTCTGTATGGTAGACTGGCTAACAAAGTTATATCACATGGAATACAGAGAGAACTAGCCATTTAGATACAGAAGTGGCTCAAAGGTAGGAGACAGAGGATGGTGGTGGATAGTTGCTTTTCAGACTGGTGTGCGACAAGGATCGGTGCTGGGTCCACTGCTGCTTGTCATTTATGTAAATGATTTGGATGTGAACACAGGAGGTATGGTTAGTAAGTTTGTAGATGACACCAAAATTAGAGGCATAGTAGGAAACCAAGAAGCTTACCTCAGAATACATTGGGACCTTGATCAGATGGGCTGGTGGGTCTAGGAGTGGCAGGTGGAGTTGAGATAAATGTGAGGTGCTGCATTTTGGAAAGGCAAATCAGGGCAGGACTATACACTTAATGGTAAGGTCCTGGGGAATGTTGCTGAACAAAGAGACCTTGGAGTGCAAGTTCGTAGTTCCTTGAAAGTAGAGTCACAGGCAGACAGGGTAGTGAAGAAGATGTTTGATATGCTTGTCTTTATTGGTCAGTGTATTGAGTATAGGAGTTGGGAGGTCATGTACAGGATATTGGTAAGGCCACTTTTGGTATACTGTGTTCAATTCTGGTTTCTCTGCTATAGGAAGGATATTGTGAAACTTGAAAGGGTTCAGAAAGGGTGCGGTTGAGGCTACCTTGTTGAATGTTTTGAAGACAAAGATAGATAGATTTTTGAACAGTAAGGGAAATAAGGGTTATGGTGAGTGGGTGGGTAAATGGAGCTGGGTGTACAAAAGATCAGCCATGATCTTATTGAATGGCGGAGCAGGCTCGAGGGGCCTACTCCTGCTCCTATTCTTTCTGTTCATATGCTCTTGTCTCTTTTATCCAGAAAAAACTTGGATTTTTAAATTGCCAATTCAACACTTAGACTGATATCAAGTCCTAGAGGTCTTTACAGTCGATGGAGAACAGAAGGTCTCCTGTGGAAGTGAAATTCCAAATATAAGGTGCAGAAACAATTCCAATCAAGAAATTCGAGTGATCACATCTCAATTTGCTTGGGCATTTATACAACCACTGCAGGTCCACAAACTGGGGACATTTAGTGACTGCAACAGCAGCGCTACAAGCATTATGGTTGTAGAATGCAGCAACAAGGTTAACTGACTCAACCATGGTTTTATATCGATGAAACACACCGAGCCAATTTTAAATTTAAATATAATCCTAACCAGAACTGACAAAAAGGAAAAGTTTAAAATCTTGGGCTGAAAAGTTAACAGAACATATGTTTATTTCAAGTATTAAGTACAAAACTGCTCAAGAGCAGGAGAGGGTTAATGCAGAGACTAGAGAGAAAGGTTAACTCTTAATGAGTTCAGAATGACTGGCAGCCACTCCTCTGTCCTTGAGCTCTATGGTATGAGCCCATGCTTTGTGTAGACATTTGAACATGTTGTGAAACTCATGGAACTGTAACAATGGTGGCAATTGGACAAGGTTCATGACAAAGTGAGCATGCCCTTACCTCATCAGGATCTGCGAGCTTGAACTCCCAGCCGTCACCTGTCCAACTGATAAACGACTGGCAAGATTTGTCAGTCAAGAGCTCCAGCAGAAACTGCCACAACTGGATGGGCCCACTCCCTGTCATGGCGAGAAAGAGAGAGAGAGAGAGAGAAGAACATTAGTACATAGGTCCCAAAGAGATCACAAACTTTAAGCTCTGCCTTGAATTTTGTGCTGCTGACAGGAGTAAATCTGTCTACAAATCCTTGCAAACAAACTGGATGTAACACTCCAGCATCTTAATAATCCCACTAGTTTGTTGTTAGGATCAATTAGATTGCTCAGATACCATTCACTTTCTGCAATCCAACATGAAGGAGGATATTCATGTATCACCATTGTTTGGCGAGAGCCAGGCGATGAGCAAATGGAGGAATGTTGCAATAGAAGTGTAGAGGAAAAAATGATGAAGGGGAGGAGAAAAATCAGGAGGAATAAGAAATGTAGGAGGGGAAGGAGAGATAAAAAGAAGGCATTTGAAAAAGGACAAATGAGAATTATAAAAACAGAAAGTGCTCGTGAAACTCCAAGCCTGGCAGCATCTGTGGGGGGATAAACAGAAATAACTTTCTGAGTTCAATATGACTCCTTTTCAGAGACAGCTAGAAAATTAAGGGGGTTTATGCTGCGGGCGATGGAAGGGACAACCAGAATAGATAGCAAGGCTGCCCAGAGGTAAAGGTTAAGTGAGTTAAGCAAGCCAATGGTAGTAGAGAAGGAATATAGAGGAAGAGAAGATATACAGAGCAAGAGTATGTGTTAATGGTTGGTGTGAGTGGCAGATAATGGGTCAGCTCTGCTAACGGCAAACCCATGCAAACAAGACTCTGAGAAGGTGAGGAAGAGAATGAACCAAAATAATGGACAGAATTCACAGTTTGAAGTTATTGAACTCAATGTTGAGCTCAGAAAATTGTGAAGCGACTAAACAGAAAATGTAGTGTCGTTTCTCCAGCTCCTGTGACTTTCACTGGAACATTGCAGCAAGCTTAGGACAGAAATGTTGGCATGAGAGAAGGATGGTTTATTGAAGTGGCAAGCAGCAGGAAGGTTTGGGTTGTTCTTGCAGTCAGACCATAAAGTTGTCAATCTGCATTTGGTCTCATATTTGTAGATTAGACTGTATTGTAAGCAGTGAATACAGTAGACTAACTTGAAAGAAGTCAGAAAAGGTGGGAAAGAAGAAAATACCAGGAAAGAGGGCAAGGGGCAGACAAAAGGGGGAAGGGTCAAAGTAGGTAATCTCACCACAGGATGGGATTCACAGACAGTACACACACCAACTAATGCATCATTGCAAGAATTAAACATGTTTCGACATCATATAAATACAAGTTAAAATGTATGAATACTTGCAATAGATCTGGCAAAATCTATTTTAAGCTTCTGGAATTCCATAATGTGTTGGGCCTGAGAGGCAGAGTGTGGTTGAGGTGTGTGGAAGGTGGTTAAGAAGTGGAGGATGTTAAGAAGGGACAGCATGTAAGTTATAGAGTTATAAGTCAGCAATTCATATTTTCGAATTGCTATTTTCTTATTAAGTAGAGAAATGTGGTGAGTGTTTTCTTTTCATCTGAGTTTGTCGGTTTGGTAAATTAGGGATTTTGGACAGTTTGACTAAATCTCTGCATATTTGTGATGATTCTGGGAATCGTGGGACTTGCCTGATGAGTCGTGATACCGTGTAGAGGTGAGTAAAATCGTCTGAGCTGAAAATAGCTGTAACTACAACACAATAGGTGATAATTATAATCACACGTCACTCAACAAACAACCTTTAAACCTAAGCACCAGGCAGCCTGAAATGTTCAAGAGGAACAATGACGACAGAAGGGGGATTTCCCATTCAGTTGATCAACTTTAGGGGCACCACCAACAATCTGTAACCTGCTAATGCAATACCATTGCTCATCTATCCATCACAAACATTTCCAACATCAAGCTGTGCTAAATTAAAACAACAAACTGCAGATGCTGGAGCTCTGAAACAAAAACACAAATTGCTGGAGAAACTCAGCAGGTCTGGCAACAGTTCTGAAGAAGAGTAACTGGCCTCGAAATGTTAACTCTGTTTCCTCCCCACAGATGCTACCAGACCTGCTGAGTTTCTCCAGCAATTTCTGTTTTTGTATCAAGTTTATTGCGCTTGAGAAAAGGGGGAAGTTCATAAAATCTGAACCATCAAAGCACAAGCTAGGTTCCTTTCAGTAATTTCTGGGCAGCTTTATAAGGGTTAGTTTTTTTTTCTCCAGGAGTTGGATGCAGTTTGAAATGATTAGAAAACAGTGACTTTGTAGTCTTGTCAAAACAAAAGTCAGGATCTGTAACTTAATGACAGAGGTCTACCCACCCCACCGATGACACATATTCCCCATCGTGCTTATTAACTGACAAACAGGCAGCCCAATCACAGATCAGATCTAATAACCTTTAACTGTGGATCTGGCATGGCACTATTAAATAAGGTTTCCATTTATATAGCACCTTTTTATGATCTCAGGACTCCGTAAACTTGCCAAAATAGTATAATGCAAAAAATGTTTTCAGAAGTGTATTCATGCTTTAAGGTAACAATACGTCGACCGGTTACACAATGAAAGTTTCCCCAAACATCAATGAGATAAGGAAGGATAAATATTAGCCAAGACATCAGAGATAATTCCCTAGCCCTTCTTCGAAATAGTGTCATTAGATCTTCTACCTTAGAAGACAAATGAAATTTCAGTTCATCTCATTCAAAAGATGATTTTTCTGACAGTGAAGCACTTCCTCAGTACTGCAATGGAATATTATTAGGATTACATACTTGTGTCTACAGAGGAGAAGATGAACCCATAACCTCTTACTTAGTGCTAATAGTGTTGCTACTGAGGCAAGGTTGATACATCAGCAAAGAATTCAAACTCATTCACTCACTCATCTCCACTACTTACCTAACTACAAGAAAGCCTCAGGAGGTGTGCAGGCTTCACACTGCATTAACCCTGCTCTTTCTTGCACGCAACCTAAAAATAGAGCTTATAGCAGGGATCACACGCAAAACATTTCCCACAATGAGTGCAGTGTCTGCTGTGCAAAATCTTCCTTTGCTCAAAATAAAAAGTTCATGCAGAAATATTTAAGTAAAGCTCACAGATGTATGATGGCATCAGTTCATTAGAATGTGAAAACTGAGCATTAGTGGGTCTCTGTTCCCAACTGGGAACAAGGCAAAGCATTGATGGGACTGTGAAATGTAGTACAGATAATCGTACACAGACACTCTGTCAGTTTTTCCATCTAAGATGAGGTGACAGTACTGGACTCTTTAGGTCTCTCTATTTTTCTGCTGATTTCATTAAGAAACCCTTTTATGGCAGTGATGATCCAACTCTTTAAGAATGTGAGCAAACAGCGAGGGTAGCTCGAGGCAAGTGCCGCCAAATTCTCAGCCAAGAAGCCATCATTGAGAGCCTTAAATCACAGGTTGCAATATCCAGCAACGTACTCCTCAGCCCCTGCCACCAAATCCCCAACCCCACTCACACTCTGCTCTGAAGAATGCCACTTCCTTATGATGCCATCTTTTACTGAACCACCAGCTATTGGAGTTATTTTCATGAGATCAGAAGGGATTGCGCATTGGTACAGAGGACTGTTGTAATGTATGGAGGAGTGGTACCAGATGGATTGATCTAAACTGTTTCCAGTGATTGAGGAGATGCAGGAAATAAGGTACAAAACGTGCAGTTACATGTGAGACATTTCAAACAGAGAATGGGCATAATCTCATTTACAATTGTACAGTGCACTACCAGAATTAGTGATTGAACAGAGATTGTGACACATTTAAGTATAGATTAAAAAGGTGATCGAAGGGAAAGGGGATTAAAAAGATATGGGTCAAGGTAGGCATGTGGCATGACAAGACTGCTTATGTGGAAAATGAATTCCAACATAGGATAGGTGAGCTGCGATGCCTTACTTTTTATGTACTAATACTGTATTAACTTGCTAATTGGATCTACAATCAGGGCAGGGTGTCACTCTTTCTAACACCTCTCCAACTTGGCTCTTTCATTGATGAAAGGTCTCAGCTTCAACAAGAGGCAATCAGCAGCTTTCAAATTTTGGATACTGTTGCAGGCATTTAAGGGGCATCTTTTTGAGACAATTCTGACCCAGTGAGCAAACATAAATAAACACATACTGGCACATGTATACCCTCAGACACAGTCTCACGGAAATCTCCATACACAGACACAAGAGATATAAGGGACATGCAAATTGACCAACAAAGGCCACCAGTTACAACAAGGATTAAGGAGGGGTGACTTTTCTTTCTCTCACTAGCCGATGTGGTACGAATTTTATCAAACAACTGATTGCAACAACCCAGTCAAACAAAATGTGCAATTTGCTGGACAGCTCACAGCCCAATTATGTTTTACTACAACATTCTTAACGATACCATCTGAAGAAATGGCTGTCTAGTCATCTGTTCCTACCGTTTCTGTTGATACAATTTTCAGCTGGGCACATTATGAATGCCTGGCTGAGCTCCAAGAAGGTTTCATGCACTTAGCTCTCAGCAGCTTATGTTGACATTGCTGCAGACGGAACTGCAAGCTTTGTTTCATTGCTATCCTCAATACAATGTAATAATTGGTTTTGAAGATCTTTTTCAGTGCCTGGGTGTTATTCACATTAGATTTAAGAGGTGCCGAGAGAATAAAAGCTTAATAGTATGAATAATTTTGGTTGATAGCTCTTACAAGGTGTAAGCAGAACATTGGATATTGAAAGCCTTTTTTTCTTCTGGTGCTAGTCTCATGAGCAATTCAAAGACTCATCATTAGTTCATTCATTCTACATAGGAGGGATACTCAGAGAGTGGAGATGAAGGATGCGTGGTGTGGGGGGGGGGGGGGGGGGCATGTGGGTGTAAGCATCATGGGTGATAGAGGGCATGGAAGGGAAATGGTAGATATGAGAGAAGGGAGTGAGAGGTGAAGACCTGAGGACCTAACATTCATAATTACATCTCTGTTGGTGTGGGAGTAATTGAAAGCGAGTCTTTTAGCCTGCTGGCCACGTTA